ATCAACATTTCATTTATCTAAGAGAGACTAGAGTGAATTTTCAAATCAAAATTCATTCTAATCTGTGCCTGAAAAGTAGTGATGTTTGAATATGCTGATTTTAGAGTGGATTCTAATCATTATAGACCATGAAGCTTGACCTTAAAGGGATGTATATTAAACAATGTTTACTTAGAAAAAAACAGTGTAGATTTACTAATGCCCAAGTAAGAGGCTCGCCATAGTAGTAGTTGGGTGAGCCCCTTAGTGTAAGTTGATTTCCACAAAGTGGTTGAAAAAGTTCTTATGATGGAGGCAAGATAGAGAAGTGTGTGCCAGGTGAATAAATATAAAGAGAAAAATTAATACCCGGATAAAAGTCTTATGCAAAGGGGAACTTGAATGGCATGCATGCTGTCTTCTTGAGCCCTTCAACATTTTTATCAGAAATTTGGATGAAAATGTGGAAGGCTTGCTTATCATACTTTTGAAAGATTCAAAACTAGAATGGGTAGCTTACTTGCTGTCTGAATGAATCAGGAGTCAGAATGATCTTAGAAGACTGAAACAGTGAGTCAAAACAATATGATTATCTTTTTTTAAAAGAATATTTTTTTCTTAGAAAAGCAACAGATATGCATTATTTAACCCCTAGAGTGCCGGGGAGTGCGATCGCGCTCCTCCTGTCTTTCGCCAAAAGTGCCGGGAGTGCTATCGCGCTCCTCCTGCAGTGTCACTATTAGATGCTAGTAGTTCACTCTTTATTGACAGATGGCACCTAAGTGCAGATTACTTATGATGCCCAATGTTTGTAGTTCTAAAATTGACCACTGGCATCTATCTGCCTAATTTTTTACAGGTACTACGATTTTATGAAGTTTACTCAGATTTTGTAGCCCTAAAGCTTCAAAATGGCGTCCAGTTCTAAGTCTGCTTTTATTATTTTTTTCTACTAGTATTTTATAATACAATCAGCAAACAATAGATGTCAAAGATGAAAACAAATGTAGTAAAGGTTTCCTTAAGTTTTTGAATATGTAACTTCATTTACTTGTGATTCATAATTTTTTTCCTAAACTGCTGTAAAATCAGCAAAAATGCCTTGGCAATTTTAGCATAGTTCCTGGGATATTGGTTGGCACTCAAAGGATTAAAAAGTAAGTACATAAAGTTTAAAAAAAGACATAATTTATTGTTAGTGAAAACATGCTGGCTTTTTCTGCAAAAATATTTGTTTAATGCACATCCTTCTAAGTTATGCTTAATGGTTTGAAAAGACTATCAATAGTAGACCAAAGCATAGACATTAAATTTTGATACATATTGCCAAATGACTCTTGAGAACAACCATATACATTTCCAATTCTTTCATCATTTAAATGCAAGTATCCCCTTTTCCCCTGCATAATCACTAAGTTGCATGTTTGTTTTTAAAATAAATTCTGCATTTTTAAATTGCTATCTATATATATAAAAGCCTAAGCGACTGTTACTATGGAATGACTGGAATGACCAGTCGCTATGATGTGCACTGACCACCAAGGGGCAGACACTCAACGCAGGAGCTGCCTCGGGCCCCCAGGCCCCGATTGCCGGATGGGGCCTGCCGGCCAACCTCTCGGTCCCTCCCCCCAGCCAGCAGGCCCCCATCGCCCAATCAGGGCCAGGGCCCAGGCTGGGACGGGGAACTGGAGGTGGGTGGCAGCAGACACGTCCCCTTTCCCCGGGGGGCCAAGGGCTGAGATCCCACCTTGGGGCTGGCGGCCAACTTCCTGGGTCCCTACCCCCAGCTGGGCGGGGTCCCAGGCTGGGACAGGGAACTGGGAGTGGGTGGCGACAACCAACCTCCCGCGGTGCCTGGGTGGGGGGCTGCGACCTCTCGCTGGCTACCTGGGGGTGGGAGTGATGAGGACAGAGGGTCGGTGAGAATGTGGGCTACCTGCTGAGCTCACTCTCACACCCCCTGCTACCTCCCCTGGGGATGCCAGGTCTCGCGCGTCGGGGAAACCCCGCACTCAGATGCTGGGTGCCAGTGAGGAGCCTGCCCCCCCCCCCCACCCGTGCAGCCTCTTCCAGGTGAGCCAGGTAGCAGCCACCAGGACCACAGGGGCTGGTCGGGCTCCCCATCTGTTCGCACAGGAGCCGGTCTGTAAGCCTGGCCTGGAGAGAGTACGCTGCCTGCCTGGCTTTCATGCAGCACCACTGGGTGGCCCAGAGGTCCTCGCTGTGCCCCCGCCCACAGCTCCCGGCTGCGCTCACCACATCTCCGCGTGGGGACTCGGTCGCGGTGACTCAGGTGGAGGGGGGACTCAGGGCCCAGAGGTCAGCTGGGACCTGTCCTTCCACGCCAGACCTCACACTTTGGTCACCGGCCAGGCCTAGGGACCGCACCGTGCATGAATTTAAAAATAAAGCTTAATTGAAATAAATGTAGTACTGCATTAGGTTTGTAAATCAGTTGTACAAATATAGAAAGCTGAGAGGAGTCTAGTTTGAGAAAGTTCTGGGAGTTTTAATTGACTCAAACTTATCATCAGTGTGGTGCCCCTGCTACAAAATAAATTCAGTGTGTGCTGGTAGAGTCAGTGCTGTCTGAGATATCTGGACTCTGCTTCTAATTCCTACCAACATTATAAACTAGAAGGGATCCAGCAGATTCTCGTCAACTAAGGGCTGTCCAGGATGGAAAAAGAAAGGCTGTGCTGAGTGAGGAATAGCTGATGGAATCCTAATAATAAAGAGCTAATATGCAAATGATCACCATGCCCTCACGCTGTCATGCCATAACGGCTCAGACACTCAACACTGGGGAGAGAGGAATGGGGACCAGCCAGGCACAAATGAGCTCGTGACAGAGGAGTGGGGACCAGCCAGGCACAAATGAGCTTGTGACAGAGGAGTGGGGACCAGCCAGACTGTGGCCCAGGAGAGGGACAAGCCGCCTGCCCTGTGGTCCCGAGCGCCAGCAGCTGCACCTGCACCTGCGGCCCAGGAGAGGGACAAGCCACACATCCCACAGTCCCGGGCGCCAGTGGCTGTGCCTGCGCCTGCGCCTGTGGCCCGGGAGAGGGACAAGCCACCCGCCCCACAGTCCCGGGCTCCTGCGGCTGTGGCCCAGGTGAAGCCACCTGCCCATGGTCCCCTGTGGCTGCGGCCGGCTTGGGTGAAGCCGGCCCGGGTCCTGGGTGTCTGCGGCCAGCCAGAGGGAGGGAAGCCTGGGTCCCGGGTGTGGGGTGAGGCAGAGGTGGTTAGGGGCAATCAGGCCAGTAGGGGAGCAGTTAGGGGCGATCAGGCCGGTAGGGGAGCAGTTACGGGCGATCAGGCAGGCAGAGGTGGTTAGGGGCGATCAGGCAGGCAGAGGTGGTTAAGGGTGATCAGGCAGGCAGGCAGGCAAGCGGTTAGGAGCCAGCAGTCCTGGATTGTGAGAGGCAGTCAGACATCCCCCAAGGGGTCCCGGATTGGAGAGGATGCACCCCCCCATGCACGAATTTTGTGTACTGGGTCTCTGTCTATATATATAAAAGGCTAATATGCAAAGTGTCCCCTTGGGAGTTCAACCGGGAGTTTGATTGCTCGCTATGACGTGCGCTGACCACCAGGGAGCGACATGGAACAAAGGAAGGCCCCAGCCGCCAAGCCGAAGGCCCTGATCAACCCTGTTCAACAGCCAGGCCTAGGGACCCTACCCGTGCACGAATTTTGTTCACTGGGCCTCTAGTGGTGTATATTTAACCTAGAAAAGAAAGCCGAGGTCAGTGTTCATAGTTAATTTTGGATATTTTCAGAGTGGTTTTGTATAAGAATATTTCAATTGTTCTGTGTTCAAAACAGAAAAACTAAGACAAATCAATAGAAGTAATAGGAAGGCAGATTTTGGTTCAGTATTAGGATGGACATACTTTCTAACAATTACAGCTAATTGCAGATAGGTTGTGCTGTGTTGCAAAGCTGTGAGCACTTGACCCTGGTCTGAATTGAAGCAGCTGTTAAATAGCTATTTAGAGGTATGATGGGGGAGGGATTCTTTTTCATTTTTAAATGGTTTTTATGAAATGTTTTTAAAATGAAAATGCAGCAGAGTTTACAGACACCTGTGTACCTACCAATCAAATTTTAACATTTTAATATTTGTCACATTTTCTTCTTTGTAGCAGTTTTGTTTTTCTTTTTAAGATATAAAGCATTACAGATACAGGTGAAGTGTTTACCCCAATCCCATCCTGTTTTCTTTCTTCCTCGTGAGGTTGGTGCGATACCTTCTTGTCCATATCTTTATATTCTTTATTACCTATACATGTATACTTATACAACATACAGTATTATTTTGAGTCATATGCCTTTTTTTGCAACATTCTTTTTACATTCAACATTATTTTTCAAGAGTTATTTGTTAATACGTGTAAGTCTAGTTTATTACTTTTAACTTTCATGTATAAATAAGTAATTATTTACTCATTTTTCTATGAAAGATTTTTAAGCTGTTTTCAGTTTGTTTGTATGTTTTTCACTGTTACAATCAGCCCTACATTGTTAAAAGAGATTTGTCCATTGGGAAGAGGTTGAATTGGATGACTTAATTCAGTTTAATTCAACCAATATTTTCTAATCTCTGAGGATAAAAAGATTAAGGCATAGTCCCTGCTCAAGGAATTCACTGTTTAAAGACTCTGTGAACTTTGTATTATTTAATTGTTTATAGTGCCATTTTTAGGCATCTGTAAAACTTGGCTGGTTTAGGCAATCACCTTTTTAATAATGGGGCATCATCTGACATATCTATAGTTTTGAGTGTAATTTTCAACCTTAAGTCTCAATGTTAACTAATAATTTTTGATGAGATGACTTATGTGTCCAAGAGCATTTGAGATTCTTCTTCAGAGCTGCTTTGTCCATTTATGATTTATGTTAAAGAAGGTTTTCTGGTTCATGTTTTCTACTGAATTTTTCTCCTTGAAAAATTAATAACTGCCACTTATGGTATATTTCTGTGTATTTTATGTCTGTGTGTATTGTGTTTTTAGGAAAAAGGCTCAACTAAAAAAAAAAAGCGGTGTGCCTCAGATCAATGAACAAATGCTGTTTCATGGTACCAGCAGTGAATTTGTGGAAGCAATTTGCATTCATAACTTTGATTGGAGGATAAACGGTATACATGGTGCTCTCTTTGGAAAAGGTAATTATCAGAATTCCAGGTTCGATTCAGGTCCTAGGAGCGAATCTCCTCTCTTTAGAGACAATTGACTGTTCTGTAATTCAGGGGTTTGACAGTTATTAAGTTAAAAGTTATGTACGAGGTTCCCAGCACACCCTCAGAGGTTCTGAGCCACAGAAAAGCCACCTCCTGCCTGTACAAGATAGAAGTAAGACCTTTATGCCCTGCCGGGTTAGATCGCGCCCCGCTCCCAGTCATTCACAGGACATCATGTCCATGTTCACTGATTTTTGCATTACATTTAATTTTCATGTATAAGTCCTTTGCTTGGATAAAACTAAAACTTTTATGTCAGATAAAGAGAGAACTATCAAATAAATTAATGTACATTGTGCACAGGTCTAGGTACTAGTATTTTTTGTTTTTGTTTTTTTTTTAGAAAAGAATATTAATGAGCAATAAAGAATAATAGGGGAAATCCTCACCTTTTTCCTAATGTCATGAAAGCATGAAAGTCCAAGTTCTCCAATTTATGCCCACTACCCAAGCAAATTAAGGAGAGAGATGAGGGGGGAATGTAAGGGATCAACATTTATTTTGCTGGTTCTTGCTTTGTACCTTACTTCCATCAAGACAACTGACTACCATTTAGGATTAGGGTGTGCTCTATTTTTAAAAAGTAAATACATTTTAAAAATAACTACCAAAAAGTCCATTTTATTTCTTTAACTGTAAGAGGATCAGAAAAGTGTTACATAAATCCCATCAGTACTGGGTAATACGAGACATTGCAATTACTTTTCAAAAATTTTTAGAGTAAGTGTCCCCATAATGATGTCAGTCCTCCCAAGAGTCAGATGCTTTACTGAGTTTTCCCAAATAGGCACTGAACCAGTGAAATTGTTCTGTTGGGTGGTCGGATGTGAACAGCATTGCACGCTCAGGACATAGAGTTCTATTATTTCCAGACATATCATTGAATTGTTGCTCTGTATCATGGAAATGCGGTACCTGGGGTTTGAAATCATCTCTGTAGACCAGCAGTTTCCACTGTGCTCTCCAGGGCTTCAGTGGCTGCTGTATAGGGAAGCGGGGGAGGAAAGCGGTGGAAGGAAATAGAAATGGGAGGGAGTCCAAACAATTAAAACTCAGGTCCTGCCACACTTTTAATCACAGAAATAGTTTGTATCAGTCTCACATATTGGATTTCTTTGTAAGATTTTTTTTGAAAACAAGTCTGGCACTACTTTTTGGTGCGGAGTGATGGAGTTGGTGGTGGGGACTGGTCCATACTAACAAATCTATCCCTATGGCAGTCTGAATCACAGCCATCCATAACAGATAAACTTCTGTTCTTAAAGATCTACATAGGAGGAAATTTCACATCTATTTCTGTTATACAATTCCATGTGTCTATTCCCCTAAACCGTGGTCGGCAAACTGCGGCTCGCGAGCCACATACGGCTCTTTGGCTCCTTGAGTGTGGATCTTCCTAAGCCTTAGGAGTACCCTAATTAAGTTAATAACAATGTACCTACCTATATAGTTTAAGTTTAAAAAATTTGGCTCTCAAAAGAAATTTCAATCGTTGTACTGTTGACATTTGGCTCTGTTGACTAATGAGTTTGCCGACCACTGCCCTAACAGAATGTTTTTTTCTTGTGTTTCATGTATTCTTCAGGGTAGTCTTTAATCTTGGCTTTCTTTTTTCTTGGTTCTTTTTTTTAAGGAACCTACTTTGCTAGAGATGCTGCTTACTCCAGTCGCTTCTGCAAAGATGACATAAAACATGGAAACACATTCCAAATTCATGGTGTAAGCCTGCAAAATCGGCATCTATTTAGAACGTATAAATCTATGTTTCTTGCTCGAGTGCTGATTGGAGATTATATAAATGGAGACTCCAAATACATGCGACCTCCTTCCAAAGACGGTAGCTATGTGAACTTATATGACAGCTGTGTGGACGACACCTGGAATCCAAAGATCTTTGTGGTGTTTGATGCCAACCAGATCTATCCTGAGTACTTAATAGACTTTCATTGATCCAACTTACAAATCTCAGTGGTCAAGGAAGTTTATTCTTTCTTGCAGGAAGATTTGCTCTCATGTCATCTAGCCACTAATGTTAATTATCTGACACTTTTGAAACAGATATGAGAGAAAAAGTGGACTCCCTATAAAAAGACATACTGACTTTAAGGTTGGTTTTATTGTTGTTTTGTTCCTGCTAGTTGTTCACCGTCTTGTTTGTTAAAGATGGACACCATTGCCATTTTAACACCTCGCGGTGAAAGATACCACTCAAAACTGAATCAGCGGAGTCTCAGTTAGCATGGTCATTTAGAGTTATTAAAGTTTCTCTGTGTGTTATCAGGATGAACGTTTTCAGGTGAGATAGACTGATTCCTATATATGTTCAGAAAATAAGTTATAGACATAAGCTGGTTGCTTCAGAGGAACTGAACCTTTGTAAGTTGAATTCTGATGTTACTGTCCACCAATCTACATGTTGCTTTGTTGGTCTTCTGAAACCTTGAAGCAGCCTGAGTATTCTTGAGAGAAGTAGGAAATAAGAAAATTATTTGCAGTCCTGCCAAACAAGCCAGAAGGAGAAAATCAAGGTAGAGTCCCTGCTTCTGTCCGCCCAGGATGGCAGGCTGCAGTCTCAGATTGCTCCTGTCACTCCGCTGTCTCCTGCATCTGAACTGACAAGTGCCGCAGCTGTCGTTAGCCTGCAGTTCATCCACCGAGGCTCTGGAATTCTTGTACTAAGACTTGCTGCACAAGGTGTTTATTGCAGCTTTAAAGCAAAACTTTTATTTACTATTTAAAACACATATTTTCCCTTTGTTTTGGGGTTCTGACAATGATTACTTGTAAGATATTTTTATCTGCTTCCCAACTACCACACACACACAGCTGTTCAACAGTGATTTATAAAATTCACTTCCGAATTGTATTTCCCCATTTTGAATCATTGGATGCATGGAACAAATCTGGTTTATTCCTTTCAGTAGCAATTGACAATCTGCTAACTCTCTTGAAAAGTTAGACAAAATTCATTATCATGTTTAATGGAAGTTTGTTTCCCTGTTCTTTCTGTCTTGCTATCCGATTCTAGGAGAAGTAATGTTGCAACAGCTTCCTGCCCCTAAAGGTATTCTGGCAGACGCCGGGCAACTTGGCAGATATGTTGTATAGGAGTTCAGGTATCAGATCAGGGATTGGCCATACAATTGTTAACAGTTTTTCCAGCCTTAATATTCAATAGTTCTACCTGAAAGAAAGAAAAAAAAAAGAACACTTGTATCAATCATTTTCAAGAAAACCTTCAATCTAATACTGAATTGTCTTCATTAGCCTCACCCAGTTTTAGCTGAGAGTTAGTGAATACAATTTAACTTCTCAAGAAAAATCCAGTAAATGTTCATGTCTGTGTTGTTCAGTTCAGTCATTTGAATTGGGAAGGCATCTAAGCATAATAAAAATGAAGAGTATGGAGCAAGATTAGGTTGGTGATTCTTTACCTACTATCTCCGCATTTATTATAGCCCAGAACACTCGTATTTGTGAGTCGAAAGTAAGCAGTACACAGGAAATTGCGTGTACTGGTATAATACCAATTAAAAGTAAATGACAGCAAAGATTTCCTGACTCAGATATGCAGACTAGCAGCCACTTTTGATGAAGTGCTGTGAATATTTAGAAAGAACATATTTTAGAAATAGTCAGAAATCATCATGGAAATAGCTGAGAAAAAGCCCACAGGCTGCCTTGGGAGTGGTAGTACACCATTGCTCTAGCCCTGTTCACAAAGAACTTCTTTAGAGACATTAGGAATTTAGATTTTTGAAAATCTTTTGTGCTATTTATTTTTACACACCAAAATGTTCACATAGTCTCCAACATGGCTGTCTTTTTTTTCTGATTTAACATGATTTCCTCTCCCATCACTTGACTGGAATAACTATTATAATGTCTGGGGGTTATTTTTCATTTAGACATGTGCAGATTTCATCTCCGGGTGACTAAGAGCCCAGAGCTGAGATGTGCAAGGCAATCTGTGTGAACTTAATTAGTTGGCTCATCTGTAGGAAGCAGAGTGCACTGCAGTAGACATTGTAAGAAAGAACTATTTGAGAATCTACTGTTAACTCTCCTTTTACAAGAAAGAGCCAATTGAGATCATTTTTTAATGTGACAGCATTGAGTTAATTGACACTAAAATTCAGTTTCTCTGTGTTGATCAGTAGATTGAGTTGAGAATCATGGTGTCAGTATGTTATACATGCTGGTCTGGACCCATCCACTTGTCACCTTTTCTTCTTGGCATCACATAGTAGGGGTGGGCGAGGGAAGAGAAGCCACTCCAGGTTAAAGAATCAGTGATTTAAAATATTCTACATTGAATGAATCCCAGCTGATAGTGACCTTTCTTTTACACTTTGGTGATATCAGCCTCAGGGTAAAAAAAAAGTGTTTATAAAGAAAGTTTCATAAATCTTGCTGTTATGAGCAGGAAGGTTTTTGTACTAGTGTGACTTTCATCTCTCTACTGTGATGATGATGGTAAAGAATTTGGAGCCATTTTTGATATGTGAAAATATTGTTTTTACATGTGGTGATTAAAGCTCTCCATCACAGGTCTTGGTTGTCTGTGTATGCCACATACTTGTTTCGGTGATTTCTGTGTCTCATCTCCACCATTCATTATTTAAGCCTAAATTTTCAGCTCAAATGAAAGGAGTTTGTTGCTTGTACCTCTGTGTAACCCACTTGCAGATGGGTAAAGTTTCTTCTCAGTTTGCATTACCCTAATCAGATAACCTGTGAGGAAAATTACTTGTTCTGTGCTGTTGAAAATTTCAAAACAGACCAAGGGCTAATGCCTGTGGCCGCACCTTTCCTCAGCGCGCTCCCTGCGCCATCCTGCCTCCAACCAGCCCCTCCCAGCATGTTCACAGTAACTCCTTTTGAAGTGAGTTAGGCATTTCACTTCATCTTTAAGCTTCTATTGGCAAAAAGGCAGGTATCAAAAGATATCTTAATTTTAAAGCTGAGAGAAATGAGAGACAGAATGATCAAGGCTCACCTGTGGAAACAAATCAAGTTTTATATCTACTAAAATCATGTCCCACTCTGTCTAAATCTTGGGCTATAATTAAGGTTCATTGTTAGGAAAATTCAATTGAGCTCTGACTGATGATGTAGAAATGTGACATGTTTATAAGTTTTGTTTCTAGCCATCTGGTGTTTGAGGTCCCCTCCCAGGTCGCAGGAACAGCACTGGAAACCGTGTCCCAGGTCCTCGGTGTGCTTTGTCCCAGATTGTCCTCCCTCCATGGGAAGGATGTTTGTGTTGTTTTCAATAAACGTATTGCTTGAAACAGAGATAGTCCATTTCTAGATGAAATTATGGGTTTTGTTCTTGTAAAAGAGAAAATTAAAGGGAAATGAAGATTAGCCAGGAAAGGAAAAACAAGCCTTCTAAAAAATTATGTTTGGTTAGAAACTGTAGCAAAGGGATTGTACTTATTTTTAGCCCTTTGTGCTAATATACAGGAAGAGGTTTGGTGAAAAGAGCCGCCCTGCCGCACTTCCTATGAATAATTTTATGATGTTGCTTGAGGCAACGGTGATGGAAGAAATGAATGTTTCAAAGAAATATGAAGTACATGATTCTTTTTAAAAAAATTATTTATTTCAGAGAGGAAGGGAGAGGGAAAGAGAGATAGAAACATCAATGATGAGAGAATCGTTGATCAGCTGCCTCCTGCACACCCTACAATGGGATCGAGCCCAAAACTCGGGCATGTGCCCTGACTGGGAATCGAACCGTGACCTCCTGGTTCATAGGTTGATGCTCAACCATTGAGCCACGCTGGCCAGGCCAAGTACACGATTCTCTGTGGGCTTCCTGGTTGGTGTGAGTAATAAATATAGGAGAGGTGAGCCCTAAATATTTAGGAAAGACATTCAGAGTTCATCCATTAACCTTCACTTTTTTGCAGAGGTAGTTTACTTCTGAGGTTTTTCAAAAACTCCAGGCTTGGGTAGGTTGTGCAGTCTCTCTCTGCCCTGCCCCTTCATGTACTGAACTGTATTTGATAAAAAGATGACTTGTTTAGCTTTGGCTGATGTGGCTCAGTTGGCTGGGCATCATCCCTTGCACTGAAAGGTTGTCGGTTCCATTCCCGGTCAGGGCACATGCCCAGGTTGCTGCAGGCTCAGTGTTTCTCTCCCTCTCACTGTCTTTCTAAAAATCAATAGAAAGTTTTAAAAAAAATATGTCTTTTTTATTTCCAGCACCCAGATAAGAACTTCCTTGCTATAACTGAGCTCAGTCTCCTGCTGTAAGACTGTAGAATGCATTTTTTCGGCTCTAATTGCTTGGCTTTCATTCTTTAGCACTGTAGGCTAAGAACCTGGCTTTGATTTGAACTTTCTCGTTGTGTGGCTGTGTATCTAAGAATTTAGCATCAGTCTTATTCATTTTTAAGTGGCTTCTCATGAGATTGGAACATAGGATTATGCCAAAGACATTGGTGTTTTCTGCAGCTGAAAAGCCTTATTGTGCCCTCTCCTGAGAGGTTATACAATATGCTGATGCTGATTCTGGCTCATGCTAACTTCACTTTGGTAAGCCAGTTTAGGGGAGTCACAATCAGAATTTGATTCAAATTATTTTTGCAGTATCCTATATAATAAAAGCATAGTCTGCAAATTGTCCCCTCAGCCAGGCATTCATCCAGGAGTTTGACCAGGGGGCAGGTCCAGCCGGGGGAAGGGAGGGAGTACCCGGCCAGCAGCCAGCAGCTGCTAGGAACCCTACCAGTGCACGAATTTTGTGCACTGGGCCTCTAATTAATTATAAATACAGATTGCCCTTCTTGTGTTTTCCTGTTCCTTTTTAGAAAATATCCTTTCCTGAAGGGCTCATTTCAGTTTAATGTCTCCTAGATAACATGTAGTATCTGCAGGCATTATAAGTCCACATTTGATTAACATTCTTAGAGAATCAGTATTGAAGTCCATTTCCTCTTATCCTTTTAAGAAGAGCAAGGACCATTTTGGGAGTTGCTGAATCGGAGTTTTCTGGCTTTGCTGTTTGATTTAGTGTGACCTTGGATAACTCACAGGGGGGTAAGGTTTACTTTTCAGAAGGTGAAGTTTATGAAGGACCGATCAGACTATTGTTAAAAGAAAAAGACCTGAAAGATTTCTAGGTTTCAACATCTGGTCTGACTGATGACAATTTTTGAGTTTGGGTCAAGAAATACACTAGAGCAAGGATCATGATGCATTAGGAAGCAAGAGTTTGGAACAGGAAGGAAAAGAAATTGACCTGGTTCCCCCCAAATCTCTACCACCCATCAAGGTGGCAACTCTGAGTTCCTGCAGTGTGCCAGTCCAACATGGCCCTGCCCTCATGAACTTGAAGTCTAGCAGGGAGGGGCAGATGCTGAGCTGAACAAGAATGATAGGTTTAACAGAGGGGAAGTTCAGGCCAGTATGAGCGCCTGTGATGAAGGGATCAACCTATCCTAGGGGATCAGAGAAGGCTTCCCTTGGAAGTGACACGTGGCTGTGGAGACCTGAAAGATGAGTGACGGTGAAGGGTTGATTTTAATCCCCCTGGCTACACCCAGCTAATGCCACACAGGCTTTGGGGAAATGAGAAAAACTAGGTGTGGGGTGGAGGCAGATTGGAGCATTTTTTAATCATTAAAATTAAGGTAACAGAATCAAAGCCACCTAAAGAACCAGAGTGCTAACCCTACTCCTGCACCTGGCCCTGGGGGTCAGTGTTAAGGGAACCAGGACCAGCGCTGAAGGGTATGTGGAGATAGGAGCATGGATTATGTCGATTTTTATACAATTTACTGAGAGAATCAAGATGCTTGTTATATAGAGGTATCCGTCACCCCTGCTGCCTGCCCTCAGAACACAAGCTCACAGACCTCTCACACCTTCCAAGTCCTATTTATCGGAAGCCTGGGCTTGGGAGTCAGATGACCACGTGGCATCCCGGCACCGCCACTTACCAGCTGTCTGCACGTGAGGCTCCTCTCTGTGCTTTAGCCTCCTCGTCTGTAAATGAGGATAATGATAACACCTACCTCGTGTGATGAAATACTGCCTGTGAAAACACGGAGTAAGTCTTAGTAAATGTTAGTAGTCATAAGTAAGACCAATTTTAGGAAGTGTTGTGTAACTAATGCAGCCCTCACAGACCTGGGATTCTTATAGAATTCACTCTGCACTGGAGTTAAGAGCATACTTTTTCCCCCCTTAGCATTTACTTGGTCAATGCCCTTTAGCCAAAGACTACCAGAGCAGCCCTGTAGTTAAGTGGATTTTAGTGAGGGAGAGCACAGTCCGTGGGGAACTATGGAGTATGTTAGTAAAGGAGTTAGAAAGAACTTCCTATAGGATTTGGGTTAGGGTTAGGTCCGTGGTCGGCAAACTGCGGCTCTCGAGCCACATGCGGCTCTTTGGCCCCTTGAGTGTGGCTCTTCCTAAGCCTTAGGAGTACCCTAATTAAGTTAATAACAATGTACCTATCTATATAGATTAAGTTTAAAAAATTAGGCTCTCAAAAGAAATTTCAATCGTTGTACTGTTGATATTTGGCTCTGTTGACTAATGAGTTTGCTGACCACTGGGTTAGGTGATTGGGGAGTATCTAAAGAAATGGGGTTTGCCTTAGATTGGGAGCTGTCAAAAGCAGGGCAAGTCTCTGATTGGGCATCTCAGTCTGTAGGAAGAAGGACTACTGGAGGAGGAACTGCCCCTTGTAAAGAGGCAGCAGGCACTTGCTTAGGCTGAGCTGGGCTGCTTGGTATTCTGCGGGGGGCATAGTGAGCTTATTTTTGTCTGTGCTTAGACAAAATTATGAAGAGACCTTGTTTTATCTCATTTTTATCACAGTCTCCAAGTATCTTTGTCTGAGGTTGGTATTCTGAGAGTTTATGTTCAGTAGGAGAATAACATGGCTTAGTCTGAATGCCAGGCCAGCTTCTAAATGTCAGAATGCTTTATTTTTCTTTCTCATGGAGTAATTTTTATTTGGGCTAGTTTTCTTCCTTCATGGAAATGGTAAATGAATATATTCATTCATTCAACAAAACATTGAGTATCTATACCTACTACATACCACCCACTATGTTAAACATAGGATGCAATGGTAAAAACCCCATGTGCAGGGTGCTCAAAGTCTAGCATAAGAACAGATTTCAAGATTGCTTCAATCAACCATTTTTTGTGTGTCTTGTTTTAAATGCCTTCTTCAACTTTCCTGCAAAGAATTATCCCTAGGCCAGTGATGGCGAACCTATGACACACGTGTCAGAGGTGACACGCAAACTCATTTTTTTGGTTGATTTTTCTTTGTTAAATGGCATTTAAATATATAAAATAAATATCAAAAATATAAGTCTTTGTTTTACTATGGTTGCAAATATCAAAAAATTTCTATATGTGACACGGCACCAGATTTAAGTTAGGGTTTTTCAAAAAATGCTGGCATGCTGAACTCAAAAGGTTCACCATCACTGCCCTAGGCTATGCCTGCACACTCTCAGTGACAAGAAACACCTGCCCCCCATTGGCAATACTAGAGATTCAGTGTTAAAAAATCAATCCTTACCCGATCTGTAATCCCCTCCCCC